TGTACCCGCAACCAAGGTACATTCCCTTGGCCGGAATCGAACCTGGGACCCTTGAATCCGCAGGCTGACGCTCTTATCCACTGAGCCAAACCGGTTAGGGCTAAATTTTATTTTTTAAAAATATATTTTTATTGATTTCAGAGAGGAAGGAAGTGGGAGAGAGAGAGAAACATCAGTGATGAGAGAGAATCACTGATCGGCTGCCTCCTACACCCCTCCCACTGGGGATCAAATCCACAACTCAGGCATATGCCCCTGACTGGAATCAAACCCATTCTGTAGGCCAATGCTCTATTCACTGAGCCAAAACAGCTAGGGCTAATTTTTAAAAAAAATATATTTTATTGATTTTAGAGAGGATGGGAGAGGGAGATAGAAACATCAATGATGAGAGAGAATCATTGATTGGCTGCCTCCTGCACGCCCCCCTACTGGAGATCAAGCCCGCAACCCCGGCATGTGCCCTTGGCCGGAATCGAACCTGGGACTCTTCAGTCCGCAGGCTGATGTTCTATCCACGGAGCCAAACCAGCTAGGGCTAATTTTAATAAATTTTAACCCTTTGCACTCCGAACCATTCTGGACATTGGCTACCAGCTACTCGACGCTACTTTGCGGCGGAAACGTGCATTTACAGACCCTCGTATTATTTAGTATAATTTTGGAACCAAGTAACGTATTATAATGATATTGGACTTATATGAATTGGGTGACATCGAGGAATGTATATTTGCAAAAAAAACAATATTTTATTGTTTATAATTTTGTACAGTATGATAAGTTTTGTAACACTCCCCAATATGCATTGCAGGCTGATTAGTGCATGTTTGACAGTAATAAGTGGTTTGACGCCTGCCACCAGGTGTTTTCCTGTTAGAACACACAATGCAGTCCCGTTTTCTTTGTCCCACATCGGGAATATGTAGTTTATTGTTTAATCCGACACAAAACCCGCTGACATTTCTTGTATATATCTTAATAATTTTACGATATTTTGATTTAATTTCTTGTGCCATTTCAAGATAAAACTTCAGGGAAACATGCATGTCTCAAAAAGTTGCGTTGAAATAACTCAATTCCCCGTAATCACTAATAAACTGCAATGTCCCCTGAGAGGGGACATCCGAGTCATATGCTAGAATTCCGATGTCCCCTGAGAGGGGACAGCGGAGTGCAAAGGGTTAAATTTGCCTTGCAAACCACCCAGGAAAGGCAGATGTGGGTGGAGCATAATCTAGGTTTTGAGTCCAGCGCCCAATGAGTGTAGTAGCACAGGGGCTGAACCAGGGCTGGGCGGCATCTGCTCCTCTCTGGGTGGAATCATAAATTTCTTTCCCCAGGGCCTATGATCCTGCCGATTATGAGCATTTGCCAGTTTCTGCTGAGGTTAAAGAACTCTTCCAATATATAAGTAGGTGAGTATTAGGTCTTCTTACCATAGCCCCCTGGCCCTACCTTGCCCTTTCCTGCCTCTAGTCTGAAACAAGGCCATTCTCCTTAGATTTTTAAAACCTAAATAGTAAAGTAAGTTTCTGTTTCCATCTTCCCTTGGCATTATCTCCTAGGTATACACCTCAGTTGATTGACCTGGACCACAAACTGAAACCTTTCATTCCTGATTTTATCCCAGCTGTTGGGGATATTGATGCATTCTTAAAGGTACAGTTAGAACATCCTAAACATGAGTCCAGAGGTGTTTCTTCTGACACCTCTATTACTCTACCAGTTCCACTAATTTTCTTGACAAGCATTGACTACCTTGATATATACCCTTCATTTCATTAGAATTCTTAACCTTGCTCTCTACTCCATTTTATATTCATTGCTATTCTGTAGTACTTGATTATCTCATTATATGTTAAAAATTGTCATATATTTGCCGCCTAATTATCCATGACTTCAGCTTTCTATTTAAGGTCCTGTAGATCATGTATGTTTTCTTTTTCTTTTTCTTTTTTTAAATATATTTTATTGATTTTTTACAGAGAGGAAGGGAGAGGGATAGAGAGTTAGAAACATCAATGAGAGAGAAACATTGATCAGCTGCCTCCTGCACACTCCCCACTGGGGATGTGCCCGCAACCAAGGTACACGCCCTTGACCGGAATCGAACCTGGGACCCTTGAATCCGCAGGCTGACGTTCTATCCACTGAGCCAAACTGGTCAGGGCTCATGTATGTTTTCTAGGTAGGATTTTAGTGCAGTATGGCAGACAGGCATGCTTTTTGATACTAGTAGCAGTGATGAAGCAGAATAGTTCTTCCTCTTGAGCTTATTGAAAACAAGATGCATGGCCTTTTTATGTCTCTCTCATTTTTTTCTCTGTTTTCTCACTTTTCTCTTACCCAGGTCCCACGTCCTGATGGGAAGCCTGACAACCTTGGCCTCTTGGTATTAGATGAGCCTTCTACAAAGCAGTCAGACCCTACAGTACTCTCACTCTGGTTAACAGAGAATTCTAAACAGCACAACATCACAGTAAGATACTAGTATAGTACAGGCCCAACGGGAGAGGGCCAGAGTGGAGGCCTTGTTGGTGTGTATATGGTTGATTTATTGCCTACTAGAAGTGATGGCTGTGGTTTCAGGACAGTCCTATTTTTTACATAACAGTTTTATTGAGATATAATTTACCTACCATAAAATTCACCCTTTAAAATTGTACAGTTTAGTGATTTTTAGTATATTCACAGAACTGTAGAAGCATCATCATCTAAGAACATTTTCATCATTCCAGAAAGAAACCGTGTACCCATTAGTAGTCACTCCTCATTTCCCCCTGCTCCTAGAATCTGGTAACTGCTTCATTTCTTTTTTAATGGCTGAACACAATTCCATTGTATGGAAACTTCACATTTTGTTTATCTACTCGCCAGTTGTTTCCACTTTTCTTAATTATGCTGCCGTGAAGATGTACAAGTTTCTGCATGGACACATATTGTTATTTCTCTTGGATATATATGTAGGAGTGGGATTACTAGGCCATATGGTATCTGTTTAGTATTTTGAGGAACTGCCAAACTGTTTTCCAAAGTGGCTGAATCATTTTACAATGCTACCAGTGATGAATGAAAGTTACAATTTCTCCACATCCTCATTAGCACGTGCTACTCTCTTTTTCACTGTAGCTATCCCAGTAGGTGTGAAATGATGTGTTATTATGGTCAGTCCTATCTTACTGACCTTCTCCTTTCCCAGGGCTCTAGAAAGTTTTATCAGGATTTCCTATAATCTTCATTTGGCTGCCATGAAGCCTCCCTTTTCATCAGCTACTTTGTGTATGAAATAGCAGCAGCATATGATGAGTCACTCTGTGAAAACGAGAGCTACTTCAGTGCCACGTGTCAGGCTTTCCCCTTGATTTTCTAGCAACACATGAAAGTAAAGAGCCTGGAAGATGCAGAAAAGAATCCCAAAGCCATTGACACATGGATTGAGAGCATCTCTGAGTTGCATCGTTCTAAGCCCCCTGCAACTGTACACTATACCAGGTAAGAAATGCTACCTTCTTCACCACGTAACCCATGGCAACCTTCACCATGTGGAAACCCATTGCTTTTGAGAAGAGGGCCCAAAGGCTGGGGACATATTTGATCAACCTGAGGTCCTATAGATCATGGCAGCTACTGGCTGAGATTGCAGACATAGATTGTGATTTATCTGGTATTACTTAGCCAGCTTCTCCAAACCCCAGGTCCAGGGTAGGTTTGATATGCCCAGTCTGTGTTCTCTGGAAATCCTAATGTGCCAGATCGAGGACCTCTCTTCATCCTAAATATCCTGACCCAGAGATTGCTGATGTCACTTGTCCATGTTTCTTGTTCATATTTACCTCTCTACTCTTAGACCCATGCCTGATATTGACACGCTGATGCAGGAATGGTCCCCAGAGTTTGAGGAGCTTTTGGGCAAGGTGAGTGGAAGGTAGCAGGAGCTAAGAAAGTATGGCATTCACTCTAGGGCCCAGTGTTTTCTCTCTTCCTATATCATTATCATTATTAGCTTATTAATTGAGGTAAATTACATAATCAGAAAGGTACACATACTAATTTTCACAGCTGAACACCTATGTGTAAATCAACACATTAGATAAAAAAGCAGAACATTGCTAGCAACCTAGAATTCCCCTCATGCTCAGACATCCCAACATAACCACTATCCTGATTTCTTTTTTCTCTTCCTTTTTTTTTCTTTTCTGTCTTTTTTCTTCCTAATTTCTAATTCCATAGATTAGGTTTGCCTATTTTGTATTTTATCTAAATGTAATTGAACTCTTTTGTGTCCTATTTCTTTTGCTTATCTATATTGTTCATCCATGTGAAGATTCATCAATATTTTTTCCTACATTGTTGTCCTTTTTTTCTCATTACTGCATGATACTACATTGTTTGAATATGTGACAATTTACTTATCCATTCTATGGTAGCCATTTGGATAGTTTCTAGTTTTGGGATATTATAAATGAAATATTATTACAATATTATGTTAATATTTCTAAGAACATTGTAACATATACCTGTAAACATGTATATATATTTCCTGTATTATTACTTTAGACTCTACTTTTCCACAGAGATATTTATGCTATTCTTAAGTACCCCAAATTTCAAAAATACAGGAATAGAACAATCAGACTACAGGCAGAGGCAGATCTCTGGAGGCTTTGAGTCTTTGCCTGATCTCCTTCTGGGCTCAGGCATAGGAAAAGCAGAGCCTGGTGCATACCTTGGTCCTTTCCAAAAGCACACAGCCCCAGCAGAGGGAGCCACAAGCTGTAGATTGCTGATAGCTCCAAACAGGGGACTCAGGGCCAATCAGAAACAGTGTCTGACATTATTCTGGGCTAGATTTTGGGCATTGTAGCAGATCTACCTAATACATAGATACAAATTCAAACAGACAGCCAAAATGGAGAGACAAAAATCCCTCAAATGAAAGAACAAGAGAATTCTCCAGAAGAAGCACTAAACGAAATGAAGATAAGAAACTTATCAGGGTATCTGTTTTGTGTGTGTTTTTAACCGGGATATGACGCACTAAAGGACCCGACGGAAATAGAACTGAAAGCGTTCTAAAATGGCGAACCGCACGGTGAAGGATGCCCACAGCATTCACGGCACCAACCCGCAGTATCTGGTGGAGAAGATCATTCGGACTCAAATCTGTGAGTCCAAGTACTGGAAAGAGGAGTGCTTTGGCCTTACGGCTGAACTTGTAGTTGATAAAGCCATGGAGTTAAGGTTTGTTGGTGGCGTCTATGGTGGCAACATAAAGCCAACTCCCTTTCTGTGTTTGACCTTGAAGATGTTTCAGATTCAACCAGAGAAGGATATCATTGTTGAGTTTATAAAAAATGAAGATTTCAAGTATGTACGCATGTTGGGAGCACTTTATATGAGGCTGACAGGTACTGCAATTGATTGCTACAAATACTTGGAGCCTCTGTACAATGATTATAGAAAAATTAAGAGCCAGAACAGAAATGGAGAGTTTGAACTGATGCACGTAGATGAGTTCATTGATGAACTACTACTACACAGTGAGAGAGTCTGTGATATCATTCTGCCCCGGCTACAGAAACGCTATGTGCTAGAGGAAGCTGAGCAATTGGAGCCCTGGGTTAGCGCTCTAGAAGAGGACATGGATGATGTCGAGTCCAGTGAGGAAGAGGAAGAAGAGGATGAGAAGTTGGAGAGAGTACCATCACCTGATCACCGCCGGAGAAGCTACCGAGACTTGGACAAGCCCCGTCGCTCTCCCACACTGCGCTACAGGAGAAGTAGGAGCTGGTCTCCCAGAAGGCGGAGTCGGTCTCCAAAAAGGAGGAGCCCTTCCCCTCGCCGAGAGAGGCATCGGAGCAAGAGTCCAAGACGTCACCGCAGCAGGTCCCGAGATAGACGGCACAGATCCCGCTCCAAGTCCCCAGGTCATCACCGTAGTCATAGACACAGGAGCCACTCAAAATCTCCTGAAAGATCTAAGAAAAGCCACAAGAAGAGCCGGAGAGGAAATGAGTAATGGACTCAGTTTAGGTTTAGTCCAAAGAGCCTCCTGCAAATATGAAGTCATCTCTCTATGTGGAAGGACTAAGATCTACTCCCACGGCAGCTATAAGACTATTTTAGGGTGTTTTTGTTTTTTAACCTGAAAGTCCTTTTTTTTGGTAATGAAAGAGGTGCTTAGTTTTGTATCTCTTTTTGAATCCTAATCCATACTTGAGGGATAATGCTCCCCAAGGGCTGCTTTTGATCCCTTGTACAACAAACACTGAGGATTTGGGAAGTGGAGGGTATGTATGCCAAGGAGAGGATATGGCGGCCTAGTGATCCTTTCGTTATTAAATTTAACATTCCAAAAAAAAGAAAGAAACTTATCAGAGAGTTCAGAATAATAATGGCAAAGATGCTCAACAGCATGAGAAAAGGTATAGCAATTGTGAAAAAAGACCAGAGGTCTTTAATCTGGCACATTAGGATTTCAGGAGAACACAGACTGGGCAAACCAAACTTACACGGGGTCTTGAAAATGAAGAATGAGATAGCACTAATAACATTGGAGCTTGGCCAACATGGCTCAGTGGTTGAGTGTCAACCTATGAACTAGGAGGTTACAATTCAATTCCTGGTCAGGGTGCATGCCCAGGTTGCAGGCTCAATCCTCAATAGGGAGTGTGCAAGAGGCGGCCGATCAATGACACTCTCTCATCGATGTTTCTATCTCCCTCTCTCTCTGAAATCAATAAAAATATATTTTTTTAAAAAGAACACATTGGAAGGAATACACAACAGATTAGGAGAAACTGAGGATTGGATCAGTAAATTAGAAGACAGGGAAGAGGTGGTTAGGGGCAATCAGGCAGGCAGAGGCGGTTAGGGGCGATGAGGCAGGCAGGCAGAGGTGGTTAGGGGTCATCAGGCAGGCAGGCAAGCAAGTTAGGGGCAATCAGGCAGGCAAGCAGGGACGATCAGGCAGGCAGGCAAGCAGTTAGGGGCAATCAGGCAGGCAAGCAGGGACGATCAGGCAGGCAGGCAGAGTGGTTAGGGGTCATCAGGCAGGCAGGCAAGCAGTTAGGGGCAATCAGGCAGGCAAGCAGGGACGATCAGGCAGGCAGGCAGGCAAGCAGTTAGGGGCAATCAGGCAGGCAAGCAGGGACGATCAGGCAGGCAGGCAGAGTGGTTAGGGGTGATCAGGCAGCCAGGCAGAGGGAGGGTTTAGGGGTGATGAGGCAGGCAGGCAGAGTGGTTAGTGGTGAGCAGGCAGGTAGGCAGGCAAGCGGTTAGAGCCAGTGGTCCTGGATTGCGAGGGGGATGTCCTACTGCCAGTTTGGGTCCTGCAGGATTGGGCCTAAACTGGCAGTCGGACATCCCCCGAGGGGTCCCGGATTGCGAGAGGGTGCAGGCTGGACTGAGGGGACCCCCCCCCCCCTTCGTGCACGAATTTGGTGCACCAGGCCTCTAGTATTCGTATAATAGGTATGCCAGAAGGAGAGAAAAGTGAGCAAGAGATAAAGAATGTGTTTGAAGAAATAATGGCAGAAAACTTCCCTAACATGGTGAAGGAAAAAGTCACACAAGTTTAGGAGGCACTGAGAGTCCCAAGCAAAAAGAATCCAAACAGGCCCACACCCAGGCACATCATAATTAAAATTCCAAAAATTAAAGATAGAGAATCTTAAAGGCAGAAGAGAAAAGTAATTTGTTATCTACAAAGGAACTCCATAAGGCTGTCAGCTGATTTCTCATGAGAAACTCTACAGGCCAGAAGGGACTGGCACGACGTACTCAAGATAATGAAAGCAAGGATCTGAAACTAAGATTACTATATCCAGCAAGGCTGTCATTCAAAAATAGACGGTGAAATAAGAGCTTCCCAGACAAAAAAAGGCTAAAGGAGTTTATCACAACTAAACCAGCACTGCAAGAAATGCTAAAGGGACTGCTGTAATGAGAAGAAGAAATAGAGCCCTAGCCAGTTTGACTCAGTGGATAGAGCATCGGCCTGTGGACCTAAGGGTTCCAGGTTCAATTCTGGTCAAGGGCATGTACCTCAGTTGCAAGCTCCTCCTGGCCCTGGTCAGGGCATGTGCAGGAGGCAACCAATCGATGTGTTTCTCTCACATTGATATTTTTCTCTTTCCCTCTCTCTTCCACTCTCTTTCTCTAAAAATTAATGGAAAAATATCCTCGGGTGAGGATTAGCAAAATAAATAAAATAGAATCTTAAAAAAAGAGAGAGATAGAGGTAGATATAAACAAGTGGAAGAATATACTGTGTTCATAGATTGGAATAATTAACATAATTAAAATGTCTATACTACCCAAAGCAATCTACAGATTCAACACAATTCCTATTATAATACCAATGGCATACTTCACAGAGCTAGAACAAATATTCCAAAAATTTATATGGAACCATAAAAGACCCCATATAACTGCAGCGATCTTAAAGAAGAATGAAGTAGGAGGGATCACAATACCATATAGCAAACTATACTACAAAGCCATTATAACCAAAATAGCCTGGTACTGGCACAAGAACAGGCATATAGACAAATAGATCACAACAGAGACCACAGAAATTGGCCCACACCATTGCAGTCAATTAATATTTGACAAAGGAGGCAAGAACAAACAATGAAGTAAAGACAGTCTCTTCAAAAAATGGTGGTGGGAAAACTGGACAGACACATTCAAAAAATGAAGCCAGACCATCATCTTGCACCATACACAAGAATAAACTCAAGGTGCATAAAAGACCTAAATGTGGTGAGGAACCAAGATGGCGGCATAGGTAAACACCGGAGATTGCTGCCGCAAACAACCACTTCAAAAATACAACTAAAAGCGGAACGGACATCACCCAGAACCACAGGAAAGCTGGCTGAGGAGAGATTCTTCAACTAGAAGGAGAGAGAACAGCATACCGAGGCTCAGAGGAGGCGCAGTGTGGAAAATAAAAAGGTGCGGAGGTGCGCGCGCAGAGCGGGCTGGTGGCTGAGGGCGCAGTTGTCGTTTTCAATCAGGAGGGAGTCTCAGACTCTGAGCTCCAGATCCGGGCGAGTCTCTAGGGACTCAGACTCAAACGGGAGAAGCGGGATTGTCTGGCATCAGTCGGAACGTGGTTTCTCTCCGAGGTTTGCAGCGGTGGCTGGGGTTCTGAGAAGCAGAGCCTCTGGGAACGAGACTGAGAGCAGCCATAACTGCTCCCTCCACCCGCCCTGTTGATCCCCTTCGACCCGCCCCGCCCAAGACCTGCGCAGAGCCATTTGCTGATAGCCTCAGGCAAAGGCTAGATTAGCACCTCTCCAGAGGACAGAAGTTTTCCCACAGCTGATTCTCACAGCCAGTCGGCCTGGTGGTCAAATCCCTCTAGTATTAACTACAACAATCAAGGCTTAACTAGAACAAGACTGCGCACAAAGACCACTAGGGGGTGCACCAAGAAAGCATAAAAAATGCGGAGACAAAAAAACATGACAGAAATGGAGGATATAAAGCTAAAAAACGCAATTTTGAGGGCTTGCAATAATGTGCTAGAAGCTGCCAATAAACTTGATGAGAGCCTCACGAAAACTAATGAGACCCTCGATGTTGTGATAAAGAACCAACTAGAAATTAAGCATTCACTGACTGAAATAAAGAATATTATACAGACACCCAACAGCAGACCAGAGGAGCGCAAGAATCAAGTCAAAGATTTGAAATGCGAAGAAGCAAAAAACACCCAACCAGAAAAGCAAAATGAAAAAAGAATTTGAAAATACGAAGATAGTGTAAGGAGCCTCTGGGACAGCTTCAAGCGCACTAATATCAGAATTATAGGAGTGCCAGAAGATGAGAGACAGCAAGATATTGAAAACCTATTTGAAGAAATAATGACAGAAAACTTCCCCTACCTGGTGAAAGAAATAGACTTACAAGTCCAGGAAGCGCAGAGAACCCCAAACAAAAGGAATCCAAAGAGGACCACACCAAGACACATCATAATGAAAATGCCAAGAGCAAAAGACAAAGAGAGAATCTTAAAAGCAGCAAGAGAAAGAAACTCAGTTACCTACAAGGGAGTACCCATACGACTGTCAGCTGATTTCTCAACAGAAACGTTGCAGGCCAGAAGGGAATGGCAAGAAATATTCAAAGTGATGAATGCCAAGAACCTACAATCAAGATTACTTTATCCAGCAAAGCTATCATTCAGAATTGAAGGTCAGATAAAGAGCTTCACAGATAAGGAAAAGCTAAAGGAGTTCATCACCACTAAACCAGTATTATACAAAATGCTGAAAGGTATCCTTTAAGAAGAGGAAGAAGAAGAAAAAGGTAAAGATACAAATTATGAACAACAAACATGCATCTATCAACAAGTGAATCTAAGAATCAAGTGAATAAATAATCTGATGTACAGAATGAACTGGTGATTATAATGAATCAGGGACATAGAAAGGGAAGGGACTGACTATTCTTGGGGGGGCAAGGGGAGTGGGAGATTCGGGAAGAGACTGAACAAAAATCATGCACCTATGGATGAAGACAGTGGGTGGGGAGTAAGGGCGGAGGGTGGGGCGGGAACTGGGAGGAGGGGAGTTATGGGGGGGGAAAAAAGAGGAACAAATGTAATCTGAACAATAAAGATTTAATTAAAAAAAAAAGAAAAAAAAAGACCTAAATGTGAGGCATGAAACCATAAAAGTCTTAGAAGAAAATATAGACAGTAAAATCTCAGACATCTCACATAGCAATATGTTTATGGATATATCTCCTAGGGCAGCAGTTGCCAACCAGTGGTCTGTGAGGTCCAAAAGGTTGGCAACCGCTGGTTTAAGGAAACCTTTGAAGCAGCGGTCACCAAACGGTGGTCTGCACACCACTAGTGGTCCGTGAGATCTGAAAGGTTGGTGACCGCTGTCCTAGGGCAAAGGAAACTAAGGAAAAATAAACAAATGGGACTACATCAAAATAAGTTTCTGCACAGCAAAAAAACACAAACCATTAAATTGAAAAGGGAACCCACTGAATGGGAGAACATATTTGTCAATGATACATTTGATAAAGGGTTAGTACTCAAAATATATAAAGTATTCATACAACTCAACAAAAAGAAGACAAACAATCCAATTAAACAATGGGCAGAAGACCTGAATAGACATTTCTCCAAAGAGGACATACAAATGCCAAGAGACACATGAAAAAGTGCTAAAAGTCACTAATCAGAGAAATGCAAATTAAAACCACAATGAGATACCACCTCACACCGGTCAGAATGGCTATCATAAAAAAAAATTAACAAGTGCTGGTGAGGATGTGGAGAAAAAGGAACACTAGTTCACTGCTGGTGGGAATACAGATTGGTGCAACCACTATGGAAAACAGTATGGAGTTTCCTCAAAAAATTAAAAATGCAACACCATTTTAAATTTGATCCAGTGATCCCAATTCTGGGAATATATCCTAAAAACCACAAAACACCAAACAGAAAGAATATGTGCACCCCTATGTTCATAGCAGCATTATTTACAATAGCTAAGATTTGGAAACAGCCCAAGTGCCCATCAGCAGATGAATGGATAAGGAAGCTGTGGGACACTTACATCATGGAATACTGAGCAGCTGTAAAAAAG